GACGGCCGCGCCGCCTCCAGGCGCTTGAGCAGCTGGCGCGCGTGCCCGCGGAAGGCCTCGGGCGCGAACGCGCACTCGCGGGAGAAGTAGCGCAGGCGGCGGAAGTGCGCGTACAGCACCTCCTTCTGCGACGCCAGCTGCAGCGGCCCGCAGCGCGGCAGAGCGCCGCCCTCGCCAGCCGCCCCGCAGAAAGTTCATGAGCACCGTCTCTGCTATGTCGTCCGCGTTGTGACCTGGAGGCGGGAGAGAGCGGCGCGGGTCAGGGCGCGAGGTCCCCGCTCCGCCGGATCGCTGCAGAGGGTGGGGGTGGGTGGGGGACCCCGGGAGGGGGTGGAGGGGGTCAGGGAGACCTCCGGGCCAAGACTGAAGTCTTTCGGGACCCTCTGCCTGGCCTCAGCCCGGCCTCACCCGTCTTGGGGGGGTGTCTCTGGACCCGATTCGGGGCGCACCCTGACCCCGCCCGCCGCCGCACACGCGCTCACTCGTCACTGTGCGCGTGGCCCCCACGTGGCGCGCCCCCTCCTCGAGCGCAGCGCCGCAGCACCCAGCAGAAGGTGCAGCAGGGGCGGGCGCGAGGGGTCGGCTGCGCCTGCGCGGGGTGCGAGAAGCAGGCTACACGCGCAGGCCTAGCTGCGGGTGGACCAGGCGCCGGGGTGTGTGCTGGAGGGGGTGCCTTCTGGGGCTGGGGTCCCCAGCGTCAGTGTGAAGAGGGCGACGGCCTCCTGGACGGCTTCTGGGGAGCGGGAGAAAAGGGGGATTCCGAATCTCCTCCGGTGATGGGACTCTGCACCAGGCTCTGCCGGGGGTGGAGGGAGAGACGCCGTGGATGCTTTCGCGCCTCGAGGTATTGGACTGAGTACTTGGAGGGCAATGGAGAGAAGCAGCACGAGGTGTGCATTTAGACCCCGCTGCACGCCCCGCATCCAGCGGGGTCGGTGAAGGTCCTTTACTCTGGGAATCATTTCCTGAGCCGTGTCACAGGAGGTGGGGGCCCGGCCTCCACCTCTGGGGCTGATTACCCGCCCCGAGGGGGACGCGCTGGTCCCCACGCAGGGTGGAGGGCGAGGGTGGGGATTCCAACCTGGAAAAAAATGGAACCAGGCGGCACAGCCTAGCACGTGTCCCAAGCTAGTATGGCACCTGAAGTCATGCCCGCCTGGAGAGGAGTCGGGGCGTCTCCAGAAAGGTGAGGGAGAAACTCAAAAGCCCTCAGTCTGAAGACACCAGCCCGATCAGGGGCCGGGACCAGCCGGTGCCGCAGCAGCGAGCGCTCACCTCGGCAGAGCCCGCCCTGGAAGGTCGGGGGACTCCGAGAAAATGTGGAAGCGGGTGAGCGAACTACGATTCCCAGAAGGCTGTGGGCCTGTCCTCTCGCCTACGACTCGCAGGCCTACAACTCCCAGAGGCCCTTGCGGTGATGGTGCTCACACCGCCCAATGTTCTCTGAAGTGACAGACTGTGCCTACAACTCCCGCCGGCCTCTGCGATCGGGTGGCCAGCGCTTCCAGGCACTCCCAGAATGCACCGGGCCCCTTCTGTTTCTCTCTGCGCGGGAACCTTGGCGGCGGGCGCCTGGTCCTACGTTGCTCCCAGTGTCCTGAGATGGGATGGACTTTTCTTTCTTTCTTTTTTCTTTTGGAGATTTTTCTGCCCTTGTAGAGGGCATAGGAATTTGCACCTCTGGCGGGAAAGAGGCGGGGAAGGGGTTGGGGGAGTGCGTGACAGGCCGGAGCCCAGTGGGTCGGGGGCTCCGCATGCGGGCCCGGTCTGCGGGTGTCCACGCGTACCGGGGCTCGGGATGGGATCGTGGTGAGCAGTTAAGTACAGGTGTCCCACATGCGACCCCGCTGAAGGCTGAGGACCGGAATGAAGGTGGGTGAGTCTGGGGAGCCCATTCCCCCTGGAGATCACCCAAGGCCAAATCTCAGGCCCAGCCCCAAAGTGAGGCATTCCCTGTGTTTATAGATATGCAGGTAAGGAGGATTGAGGGTGAGAGGTACGGACTAACCCTGTCCCACGGGTTAAGCTCTGTTTGAGGGCGCAGGAAGGAGGGCCTCACGCCAAGCCCGGTTGGTGGGACACTGGATGAATGGAGCCAGGTAAGGTAAGCCCTCTCTCCGAGCTTTCTGTCTAGTGGAGTACCTGCAGCCTATAATGTACACACAAATAAACTAGTTCACACACACACACACGAAAAGTGTTTAGAACAGTCAGTTCTCTACCAAAGGATTAGTATTGTCATCTCACTTAAGACTGCTTGGTTAGAAATGTCTTTCCTGAGCTAAGTTCTTTTAATGTAAGCAGTAAGGTGATAGTTAAATCCAAACACTTCAGACAACCTAAACTTCTTGAGTCTGTAGTTCTCAAGGTGGAGGCTAAGGGTGATTTCACTCTTAGGGAACATTTACCAATTCTGGAAGCACTTTAAACGTTGTAAAGTAGAAAAAGGGAAGACCATGCCAGGCATCTTGTAGCCAGGGACAGGGAATGGTGCCTAACCTCCAGTTATCTAGCCCCAAATGTTAGTAATGCCAAGGTAAAGAAACCCTGAATAATGTTCTGATGTCCCTTCAGTTTCTACTCTAACACTAGTACATGTAACATTTGAATGTGGCATACCTAAGAATTGCTGATAATGTAAACCACCAAAAGTTTTTCTTGAAATGTGACATACTGGTTTTCCCTTGCCATGACAGCAGTGGAATGGAAGTCACCTGATTATGAATTGTGTTTTGGCCATTGCTCAAAATTGAGTTTCCATCGCCCTAAACAGTAGCAGTGGGACTTGAGTCATAATCTCTATAATGGTCATGAGAAACATGAAGAGCAATAAGTGAATGGTGGTTTTCTGGAATCAGCAAACTCGTAGGCACTACATGTTCCCCCCTGAAGCCAGACTCTCATCTCTACTTGTCTCTTTAGCAGAGGGACCACATTTTGCCTACAACAACCCTGCCTGTACCAGCCATAGGATGAAGAAATCTCAAGACATGCATTCTGATAGCCTCACCCTAACAATGTGTGACACTTGCTCATTGGTGGCAACACAGAAACCACCAATCACATCTAACCCCAGCAAAGGAGTCATGCTCTGGGGTCATGAGATCACATGCCATCAGAGACAAGCCATTCCTTCAAGCTCACCAGTGCCTGCGTGCCTAGGACAGGGACATGAAATCACATAGCCATCCTTTGCACCTGCTGCTTGTGTGACACAGTTCAGGCATTGTCTACACACAGCATTTACTGTTGTGAAAGAGAACTTAGGAGCCCTGCTGTTTTCAGCTCAACAAATGTCCCTAAGTTACTATGTAGCCAGCTCTTACCAGGATATTTCAAAGACTAGCCTTGGTCCCCCAAATCACAAATCAGGCCTAAATCAAGCTAAAGTTCCTGAGATATTCTTGATTACTGAATGAAGGTTTTTGTACAGATGGAGTGAATTTCAGGGTCTGATTCTTCTTGTTTTGCTTAAACACATGGCTGAATCTAGTGGCCTGCTAGTACTTTATGAAGCAATGCTCCCTTGTAAGGCCCTCTGGCTGAGAGCTGGGAGGAAAAGGAAAAAAAAAAAAAAGCTACTAGGAACTTTGAATGCCTGTCCCACACAGAGGATGTACAATTGAAATCTGATTGTTTAGTGCATAGGATCAAGAGTTCATCCTTGGCCAGGTGCTGATGGCTCACACCTGTCATTGTAGCTACTCAGGAGGCTGAGATCTGAGGATCACGGTTCAAAGCCAGCTGGAGCAGGAAAGTCCATGAGACTCTTATTTCCAATCAATCACCAGAAAACCAGAAGTTGAGTTGTGGCTCAAAGTGGTAGAGTGCTAGCCTTAAGCAAAAGAGCTCAGAGACAGGGCCCAGGCCCTGAGTTTAAGCCACAGGACTGACCAAAAAGAAAAAAAAAAGTTTATTCTGGGACATATCTGTCTACACTCATTCATCCACCAAGGGCTTTCTGTGCTCAGATATGAGGGCCCTGGCTGTGATGGAGGCAGTTATACCCAGTCTTGATGCAGGGTAGATGTGTGTCAGAGACCACTGAGCTGTAGAAGCCACTAGTGGCCACTTGGAGATGGATGGAGGAGGGACAGCATGCAAAGTGAACCCAGGCCAGGCAGGGAGCCTCCAGCCATTCAGCCACGCCAGCCTCATTTGACAGCCATGAGGCAGTGCTACGAGGGAGGCATAGGCTTGGGTTGGGACACAGCTTATCAGTACCAAGCTCCTGCTTGACAAATATGCCATGTCGACATTACACACATGAGAGACTGGTTCCTGGGCATGTTTGGTGACTGGCCCTAGCTAACACAGCATACTACCTGGGGTGCTCAGACTCTAACCCACATTGCCTGGTCAAGATCTGAGCCCAGACAGGGATGCAGGGAAGAGAAAGTCAGAACTGACTACAGCAACTTTCTTAAGAGTAAAACATCATAATGAAGCCAATAAAGAACACTGCAATGGTTGAATCACAAGAGTCTGGAAGTAAGAGGCCAAGATTCTAACAAGCCTTTGAGGCCAGATGCACCAGGAAAATTGACTCTCACATCATCTGAGACATAGGTCTTGCTGGGTGGCCATTGAGTCTGAAGTCCAGTGGATCAGAATAATACCAATGACCCCTGCAGGGAGAGGTCTGTGCAGTGCAGTAATTCTCCACCATTGTGTAGGATGTCTAAACGCAATTGACTTTGGAGAGCACAGGATGAGGTCTGTGCCCAGGGGGTTATGCTGTGGTGGCCCAGAGGAGAGAGACCAAGACACCCCGGATGGGTCCAGGCTGCTGGTGGCCACTGGTTGCACGCCATGATGCAGGGGAAGAGCGGGGAGGGGGGGAGAGAAGAGGGAGGCAGAGCTCCAGCCTGTGAGGAAAGGTTGGGTCAAAGTCTGATCCATGCTCCTTGAACTCTACCCAATGGAGTGTTCTTTCTCTCAGTATATTCACACTTTGCCTCTAGAGCTGTTCCATAATCCCTCTTCCTTTCCTTTCTACCCTCACTCCTGGCAAGTCAAGATAAACTGGATCCTTTGGAAACAAAACCACACCTGAACTTGCCATCATCCTCAGAGTTATAAGAGTCTACAAAACCCATAGAGATCCCAGAAACCCCAAAGCCCTCGGAGTCTGGGATCTCAAAGCCCTCTCTACCACCTCCTCTTCCTCACACCGCTTCTCCATTGCATATGGGTTTCCCTGGGATGCCCTTGCCCTTGGAGAGCCTTTGAAGGTCAGTTCTATAGTGTGTTGTTTGAGCTGGCCAAAAGAAGCATGACATACTGGCATAGTGTCACCAGCAAGAAAGTTACATGGGAAACCACAAAATAGATCCACAAAACAGTTGTGTTTGAGGCATACTGTGTGCCTGCTTCCTGAGATAAACAAACACCAGGATTTGGAGACATCACACTTTAATCAAACCTCACTTTCAATGCTCAGTGACTGCATGTCTTGAACAAGACAATTCACCGTCAACCTTTTGAACTTTAGTATCTCCAAACAGCATCCATCTGGGGGGTGGGGGAGCGTGAGCTGTGAATGGTGGTACCCAGAGATGCAGGTGGGGGAAAAGACACCATGATAGACCTTGAATGCCAAGATAAAGCATCGGAGCTTTGGCTCGTAGGACCTTACCCTGACTCTTAGTTTATAAGCTCCAAGGGAACAAGGACTCTGTCTGCTTTGTTTTCCATTTGTAACACCGGTCCTTTAAGAAGCTCACAAAAATGTTTGCCAAATCAGTGGTTGTATTGATGCATGCATACATGCATGGTTGGAAGGATAGTTGGCCAGGTAGATGACTGGATTGATGGGTAGAACAGTTGATGGATCAATGAATAGAAGGATAGGTTATAAGCTATCATAAAGTTTGAATCAAGGAAGTAGAGTGGCCAAATGCATGCAGATCATCCTCTTTGAGAGGGAGAGAGATGAGATGTACATAGTAAAGACAGGTAAGAGGGAAAGCAGAGAGTCCACTTAGAAGATTATTGCCATGTTTTGGGCACAGCTGGATGGCAGGCATTCAAAGAACAGGGTTCTGGCGTTTAATGGCCTATGGCTGTGTACCATTCCCCTCACTGGATGACAGCCTCCCTTTTGGTAGTTTCCTACTGCAGGGGGAGGACCGCCTCCTCCGTGAGCCAGTACTTGTGAGTTGTTGCACATCCTGCAATGACTTCGGACCTCCATCTTGTAACTCAGAGTGCCCTACCCTTTCCACATCCACACACATGTGTCCACAGACATAGGAGTACTCAGCATGTGCCAGAGTGAGGGAAACAATAACATTGGCCTTGTCTCTATCCCTGGAGACCATGAAGAAATATACCACGCTGGCGTGTAGTTGATTAGTAGGGAGCAGAAGAATACTGGGGGTGGGGGCGGGGAGTAACTGGAGAGGAGCTCAGTTTGAACAGAAGCATCAGAGAAGGCCTCAGAGTGCCCAGGCCTCCCTGATCCACTGCCCCTGTTTGGGGGTTAGTAGTGCTCGGAGGTGGGACCCACAGCCAACTGGTCACGTTTGTCTACAAAGACAAATCTCTGAAGATTCTGAAAATCAGCAGCTACACTAATGAGTGTTTGTCTGCGTCAGAGGAGATGGTCCGATACAGCCTGCAGCCCAGGTCCATGTGTGTTGGTGGTGGACACCTCTTCCCAGGTCTCAGTCATGGGCCACACGGCCATTCCACCCACTCATCGGTTCACAGGGCCGTCATGCCCTTACCTGAGTCCCATTAGTTCTTCACTCTGGAGAGGAATTTTTCCAGTCAGCATTTCTATCATTCTAAGTCAGCCAATAAGTCGTCTGATGCCTTGCACAAGACTCCCAGATGGTGCCCTACTAAGGTAGCACCCGCCTGGTGCTTTCAGAACCCAAGGCCAGGAGGTAAACTTGGGGAAAGGAAATGATCATTTAGGAGGGAAAAGAGGTTGACGTTGAAAGCAGCCCAGGATATGCCAGATTCTGGAATACATGCTGGAGCCAGGAGTTATACCAAATACCAAGAAGCTCTAAAAAGAAAACAACAGGGGATTGGGAATGTGACTTAGTGGTAGTGCTTGCTTAGTATGCATGAAACCCTGGGTTCGATTCCACATCAACAGAAAAGGCCAGAAGTGGTGCAGTAGTTCAAGTGGTAGAGTGTTAGCCTTAAGCAAAAGAAGCTCAGGGACAGTGCCCAGGCCCTCAGTTCAAGCCCCAGGACTGGGGGTGGGGGTGAGGGAAGAGGAGGAAGAAAACATCGAAAAGCTCAGAGGATGGGAGAAGAAATGGAATTATTGCATTATACAAAGATTCACGTGTGGACTGAGAATGTTATAAGAGCTTGGAGTACAAAGCAAGGGAGTCTCAAATTATCTGATCAGCCATCAATGTGTTACATAGTTCTCAGACAAACCCCCTAAATTCACCCCCTAGATGCCTATCAGTTTTCATAATGAAGTCAACAAATCACAGACTCCATCCTCAGTCCTCTGGATGATGGCCTCCTCCTCCAGAAGGACATTTGTACTCATGAAGCCTGTCCCCCACCGCCCCAGACTCTCCATGGCTTCCATGATCTCATTGACTTGAGGGAGCCTGGGCTCCTCAGCCTCTGAAGGAGGAAGGGTGCTGAGCATGAAGATGCACTGAGGGAGAAGAAAGCAGACCCAATGTTAGAGCTTCACAGTCAGGGATGACTCCGTCCCCAAATCCCTCCACTTCTGGTCCTCATGGCTCCTAATTCTCAAGGTGAGGAGGCATTATTGTGCTTGAGGAGACAAAGATCCCTGGAAAGCAGTGAGGTTGTTTCTGCACCACTCCCTGCCCTTTATGCTGCTTTCCTTGTATTTTCCACATTCTGCCCTTCAGGACATGCGGTTCTGATGCCAGAATCAGTAGCAGGACACATCCTGGGCCTCTCTGGTCCCTGAGAACCTGCCAAGAGGTATGGCATGACCACTATTGTGTTTGGGTAAGTGGAATGAGAGGCAGGTGGCGATATCTTAAGAGTAAAGGAAGGGCCCAGGTGGGCATAAGTGGAAGGGTGGAGTTGAAGATGAAAATGGAAGGCAAAGAATTATATTCTTGATGGCCATACCTGTAATCCCAGTAGTCAGGAGTCTGAAGCAGAAGGATAGGGAGTTCAATGCTAATCTGGGCTACATAGTGAGACCCTGTCTCCAAAAAGAAAGGAAGGAAGAAGGAAGGAAGGGGGGAAAAAAGAAAGAATTCCATTATTGATAGAAGCAATAGACATTTTCTAGATGCATACTTTGGGCATAGGACCTGCCAAGTGTCTGTTTTGTCTCAAAGCCACTCCAGGAGTTACTACCCCCTTTCCACAGATGAGCAAACAGGCTCTGAGAGGGTAAGTGACTTACCCAAAGCCAAGGTGCCCAGGTTCTGGCGCCTGGATCTACTTGAGGCCCAGGAACAGGACTTCGTGCACAGCTCTTCCCACCATCGCCACCTGCTGGTGGATGTGGCTATATCACATCTTAGAGAAGAGAGCATGGTGGCTGAGACCGGAGTTGTGTACAGGTTCTTGGCTGTGAGGACCTGAGGAAATCACTCCAACTTCCCTGACCTGAGGACCCAGAGCCTAATTTCACAGAGCCTCAGTTTGCCCACGTGTATAGGGAATAGCCATAAACCATTCTGGCATGGCTTAAGCAGGCATCTACGAGGACACTGGGGAACCTCTGAAAGGGCACACTGGGTAGAAGGGCTCACATCAATTTAGGTAGATATGACCTCAGGAGCTGTGGGGCTCACCGTCACCAGCCCATCATGTCTATGTTCACACAGAACCTGGAGGAGGGGCCAGCTGTGCAGTAGGAGCCAAGAGCCAAGTTACAGAGGTTTTGATCATGGTTACAGGGGCCCATGGGTCTCCGAAGTCCTCTTTCGTCCTCGTGACACTGTAACATGGGATTATTGCAGCCAATTCTCAGAGACTTAGGAACAATGTCACACCACAGTTGAAGGCCACAAGATACAATTAGTACCAACACAAGAAGGACAATGCACTCAGCAGGCTCAGTTGAATGGGACCATTTGGAAGTGCAATGAAACTGTCACACTCTTGGCGATGGTTGTTGATAGCGAACGAATACAGATTAAACTCAGCAGAGGAAGGGGGCATGGGGAGGAGAGACCAAGCACAGCTTCTACTTGTCCTTTCCTGGGGCCAGGGAGGGGCCATACAGCCAGGGCCCAGTTCTAACAGCAGCTGGGGATGATGCACTGCCAGTATGGTCAAACAAAGAAGCTCAACACATCCGGAGTCCAAGGGTTGATTGTTTGGTGTTGGTTTTCTTTTGTTAGTGTTCTTTTTTTTTTCTTTTTTTGAGACAAGGTTTTGCTATGCAGCCACCTGGAGTTCTACCTCCTAAATGCTAGGGTTACAGATGTGTGCCGCCACACCTGGCAAAGTGGTCTGGACATCTAGGCAGGACCTGCTTTAGTCTCCTCACCTTGGGGAAGTCACCGACCCCACCAGGGTGCGGGTGTTACAGTGCTAAGCACAGCTGCCTCTCGGGGATTTGGCCATACATCATGTTGTTTGCATAGCAGGCCTGATATGGCTCAAGGACTCTTCTTAAAAAGAACATTGTAGGCCAGGCGCCAGTGGCTCATGCCTGTCATCCTAGCTACTCAGGAGGCTGAGATCTGAGGATTGAGGTTCAAAGCCAGCCAGGGCAGGAAAGTCCATGACACTCTTGTCTCCAATAAACCACCAGAAAACCAGAAGTGGTACTGTGGTTCAAGTGGTAGACTGCTCGCCTTGAGTTGAAGAGCTGAGGGACAGTGCCCAGGCCCAGAGTTCAGGCCCCACAACCAGACCCCCCCCCCAAAAATAATATAACAAGAGACAGTTGGTCAATTTATTGGTTTATTTATTTTTGGTGCCAATTATGAGGCTTGAACCCAGGGCCTGGGCACTGCTACCCTTCAGCATTTCTCTTCAAGATTGGTGCTCTACCACTTGAGCCACAGCTCCATTTCTGGCTTTTTGGTGGTTCATCAGAGATAGGAGTCTCATGGACTTTTCCCGCCTGGGCTGGCCTCGGATCTCAGCCTCCTGGGTTAGCTAGGATGACAGGCCCACGACACTGGGGCCCAGCTGGCTGACTTTTTAAAAAAATCCAAATAGTGATGGCAAAGGGAGAGCAGTGCCCTGGGGTGTGGAGCAGGAGGGGGGTAGAGGGAGAATCACAGAGGAGGCTGGGAAGCGGATGCAGAGTTCACATCAGGGCATCCTCAGCTCTGCTGGGTCTCTTCAGTTGGCTCATTGTGAAATGGACTGTGCCCTCCCCCCAGAGAACAGAAAGCTGTGGGGAGAAAAAGCCCCAGTTACAATCTCTGGGCTGTTGGGGTGGAGTCTGGATGGAAGCCTCTCACCCCCAAGGTGTAGATTCATTCCTTCTCTCCCCCAGATCTCATACCAGAACCAGAGCTGGATATCTCAGGGAGGCTGGCAGCTGGAGAGCCACGGCCCTGACCTGTGCCATCCAAGCAGCCTGCCCAGACATCAGGGCTTCTCTACCCACCTGAGTGGATGCCACCACACCTTCACACAGCCCTGTCTCCTGTGATTCCTCTTCAAAGCTGCACTTTACCTGCAGCCCTAGGAGTAGGGCCCCACCCTTCCATGCCCCTCCAGCTTCTCCCTGGATGACTTGACCAGAAGTATGAGTGCGGGGGGGGGGGGGGAGAAGGGAAGGATTGGGATTGGGATTGGGATAGGGAGGGGGGGAGGCTAGGAAGGGATGTGAAGGGTAAACAAAGGAGGAGGCAGCAATGCTTGGTAAGAAATGTATGCATTATCCTGCCCATGTAATTGTAACCCCTCTGTACAGCATGTTCACAGATAAAATAAAATTAAATTTAAAAAAAAAAAAGAAAAACCACAGAATAAAAGCAAACAGAGCTAGAAGGACCTGTA